TGGCATGCCTCTACCTCTCAAGTGCTAAGATTAAAGGCATGTACAACCATGCCTGACTAGAAATGAATTTTACTAGCTCTAGTGATAATGTGCCATATTCATAATTGACTAATAGTAATAACATTGTAGGTCCATCAAAATAGCTCAGCTGGCAAAAGTACTCGCTGTACAAGTCTGGTGACTTGAGTTGGATACCCAGAATCCAGGGAGCGGTGGAAGCAACAAACCGTCTTTGCAAAACTGTCCTCTGATCTACACAAGTGTGCCATGACACATACTGACCCACAGACATACACAAGATAATAAGACTTCAAAAAGAAATGTCTTTGTCTCTTTCCAACGAGTTTTATTTAGGTTGTTTACTTGAACATGGGTTTGTTTACAAGGCATGAACACATTACCAGTGGTTACATCATTGAAAGAAATGTCTCTCCCATCAATCATTAACTATATATAAATTTACAGGGAGAGGAGGAGCCCTGTGAACCCTTCCCTTTTATGACAGAGTGTTTATGGACCCAAACATGAGGAAGTAATCACAGCTGCAGTGAGTTCAGCAATGCTACAGCCATGTCACGCCTGAAGACAGCATTCCACACTGCTCCCTCATCCCTTCTTCCAGCTCTCACATTCCTTCTTCCCCAGTGTCCCTGAGCCTTGGGGGACTGATACAGATGTCCCTAAGGCTGTTTTTGTTGTATCCCATAGGTTTTGGTATGTTCTATCCTCATTTTCATTCAACACTAGGAATTTTTTTAAAAAATTTTAGCAACTCATTCATATTTGAAATTTTTAATTTCTACTTTGTGAATTTAGTTTCTGTTGCTTTCTAGCTTGCATTCCATTATAGTCAAAAGAATACAGAGTTATTTTAGTTTTTCTGTATTTGGTCAGATTTGCTTTGTGTCCTAATACATGATCTATTTTAGAGAAAGTTCTACAGGCTGCTGAGAAATGTATCCTGTAGTGTGTGGATGGAAGGTTCTACTCTTTTGTGCCCATTTGATCTATGATGCTCTTTAACCATAATATTTCTCAGTTTTCCTAAAGATAAGCTGTCTATTGATGAGAGTATAGGGTTAAATTTATGACTTTATGAATTTGGGTTCACCTGTGTTCAGTGCATTTGTTTAAAACTGTAATGTCTAGAACAATTGTTCCCACAATCAATACAAAGTAACTTCCTTTGTCTCCTCTGATTAGTTTTGAAGTTTACTTTGTCGGATAGTAGAATAGCAATGTCTGTTTGTTTCCTAATTCCATTTGCTTTGAATACTTAACCTCTATCCTTTCATTCTAAGATAAATTCTGTTCTTGATGGAGGTGTGGGGCTTGGAGGCAGGAAATAGCGGATTCTTTTTTTTAATATTTATTTATTATGTATACAACATTTTGCCTCCATGTATGCCTGCAGGCCAGAAGAGGGCGCCAGATCTCATTACAACATGTGGTTGCTGGGAATTGAACTCAGGTCCTCTGGAAGAACAGTAAATGCTCTTAACCACTGAGCCATCTCTCCAGCCCAATAGCGGATTCTTTTTCCTTTCTTTCTCTTTTTTTAAAATACAAATCTGCTAGTCTTTTTGGTTGGGCAACTGAGATCTCAGAAAAGGCTGTATTAATCTCTGTCACTTAAGACTTTATAAAGTGTTTTCCTAATCCTCATTTGTTTATCTGCTGTTGTAGCATCTTTCACTTGCTCTCCTGTATTCTCTTTAATGTGTATCATTTTACATAGTCTGAAGAATTTCTCTTCCAATATTCTCTGAAGAGCTGGCTTAGTGGTCATAATTCCATTTACCTTTTATCATGCAATATTTTTTAAAGATTTATTCATTTTGTTTACAGTGTTCTGTCTGCATGTATGCCTGCAGGCCAGAAGAGGGCACCAGATTTCATTACAGATGGTTGTGAGCCACCATGTGGTTGTTGGGAATTGAACTCAGGACCTCTGAAAGAACAATCAGTGCTCTTAACCTCTGAGCCATCTCTCCAGCCCCCCCCCCCTTTTTAGAGTCTGTGCTTATTGATCATGCAATATTTTTGTTTCTTCATCATATAGTTCTCCATAAGATAGTTGTCCTGGGTATAGTAGTCTGAATTTGCAGGCATGGTCTTTCAGAACTTGAAATACATTCCATACCTTTTGGACTTTTAATGTTTCTGTTGAAAACTAAGCTATTATTCTATTGAGTTTGCTTTTAAACCTGGTGGGTTTTTTGTTTCTTATGAGCTCTTGATACACTTTCTTTGTCTTGTATAGTCAGTGTTTTAACCATAATACTATAGTAATTTCTTTTCTGATCCTACTTGGTGTTCCATAAGCCTCTTGAGCTTGGGTATGTTTCTTTCCTTCATTAGATTTGAGAACTTTTCTGCTATAATTATATTGAACTATTATAATATTATATATAATTATATTGTTTTTATGATGGGGTTCCCCTATGTCTCTAACTCATAGTAGCTTCATTAATAAGTGGAACATAAATAAATCCAGTGACTGATTAGCCTCCTGCACAGTTAAATCTACATGTGTTCTAGCCTTTCTCCCATGACTATCTAAATTATAAAGTGGCCACAGGTTCAGCGTTTTGGATTAGACCCTTCCAAATGGGACCAAGCAGGCTGTAGATAAATTTATTTTTCTTTACTAACTTCTATTTCCTTGTAATACAAGGAAATACACATGCTCGGTGAACACTTCTAGCCCTGTAATTGTTTCAAAGGACATTTTTTAAAACTTACCTTTAAAAAGTCTTTTCCCCTCATATTCCTGTATATCCCTATGATCCATCATATCAGGTCTCTGATTTTTACAAGTACATGTTAAAACAACATAAAAGTGAAAAATGTTTGACTAGAAAAGAGTGTAATAAACTACGGAAGCATGTTATCAGCATCCCAAAAGATTAGTTTTGTTAAGTCTCCTAAGTTAGAATGTTAATAAGGAGAAATTTAAGGATTAAGCAGATGGTCCTGATGATGCAAGAGTCACTTCTAGGAAGCACATGGCGGAAGGCGGTGGTCCTCTGACCACCACACTCATGTTCTCACACAGGCACCCTCATTCATCATCATTTATGCCCCGGCAATGCTGAAGCATGAATGGGCAGCCCGTTTATGGCAGTTCTCCAGTTGTTCCTATCCTGGGCAGTCCTAGATGCTTGTGCTATTGTCATACCTGTTATTCCTTATGCTCTGGTCTCTTTAAGAGCTAACCATGCCCACTCCCCAGCCACTTCTGACCTTCCTCGTTGCCATCTTCCCCTGTCTTGTGTTTGTCTCTTGTCGTGTGCACACGTGTCTCTGTTTCTCTCTCTGTTTCTCTCTTCTTTAAGCAATAAATGTCTCCCTCTTCTTTAAATAATACTATGTCCTGTGAGCCTTTTATCCGACGTAACCACCCGCCTGACTCCCCCGGCCGCATGGCGCTGCCACCTTGGAGATCTTGCAGGGACCCACGGCCATCGGACTAGCAGCTGCTCTGCGAGCCTGCCAGGGAACACACCTGCCTGTTTTTTAAAGAACAATAATACCCAGGTTCCACAGTCTTCCTTTGTGCTCTCTATCCAGCATATTTTGAGCCTTCCTTTTCACCTTATCCCGTGCACTCCTCCAAGCAGTGCGGACTTCAGGTATCTGCCATCTTTCTCATAACATGGCCAAAATATCTCAAGTGCAGTTGCTGTAGCCTATAGTTTACTTCCTTCTGTAGATGGAGATGTTTCTTAATGTCATCGTTGCACCGCTGGTCTCTTCATGTGATGCCTACAATCCTCCTGAGACATGCCATCTCAAACATATTCGAGTTGCTGTTCTGAGGAGTGTTTCATTGTCCAGGTTTCGGAGTTGTAAAGAAGGTAGCTCAAGACAAGTGTCTCATAGACTTGTAATTTTGTTGTCGTTATGTCTCTTGCTAGAAAGCAGCCCTCACTATCCCTAACTGCTTCTTGACGTCTGAAATAGTTCACTCCTTTGAGTTGAGGTTTCTGCGCAGGTAGACAAAGTTGATTGTTTGCTTGAGGTTCTGATTCTTTATTACAATGTTAAAATCCTTGTGCGCCCCCTTCACATGTGCTGTATCTCAGTTTTCTTCATTTTTACTTTCATACCAAGGGTTTCACTGACTTCCATCACTCTATTTACCATGGCCTGTATTGACTTTCAGCAAGTAGTGCTGTATCGTCAGCAAAAGGCAAGTTACTGATTCGCATGCCACCTATCTGCACACCTATGCACAGACACCCTCCCAACAAGTAAATATTAAAATGTTTAAAATCATTATGTATAAAAGACTGACGCCTACTGAATTCTGTTTGTCGCACAAAATAATTCCCTGTACTGCTAAACCCTGTACAGTCCTCAGCTACACAATAGGTTTGAAAAAAAAAAACAAAAACAAAGCTTGTTAGTCACTTTTCCATGCAGCAACAGATCACTTGTAGCCTGGCGTTTTAGCAGAGCTTAGAGACTATGGCATCCCCCGGGCCTCCTTTTACAAGAGCAAGGGTAGACCATGCCACGGGTATGGCGCCCTCCCTGCTCTCGAATGGATATAATATTCCTATAAAATGGCCCTCGAAGGGTACAGGCTTTTATACGGGTCACCAAGGGGTAAGCAGAATCTCCCAAAAGACTCCGCAGGCCGAATGACAGCCCGCGCCGATAACAGCAGCAGAGCCAAACGACGCTCAGCAGCTGCCGGAAGTTGCGCTACCAGGAGGGGCGACGGCGCCCGCGGATGACGCCACAAACGTCGCACAAGTCGTGACGTAAGGCGCAGCTGCGCGCGGGCTACGCCTGTCATTGCCGGGGGTTTGTTCCTGAGGAGAAGCCGGCGCCATGGCGGTTCTCCTGGAGACCACTCTGGGCGACGTGGTTATCGACTTGTACACCGAGGAGCGGCCGCGCGGTGAGGCCCGCGTCCTCCGCGCCCTGGCGGGGCGGCGAAAGTGTGCGTGCGTGTGTGCGTGCGTGCCTGTGTGTGTGCGTGCGTGTGTGTCTACAACTCGCTTCCGCTGTGGTCCTCCTGGAAGGACTTTGGCTTGTGGGGGTGGGTGAGGTGGCCTGCGTAGGCGAGGCCCCTGGCTTTCGTTCACCCGCTGTGCTTTCTTTCCTCGTGAGAGGAAAAAGAGTTAAATACGGCTCGATGTGCCATCATTTGTTATGGTGAAAGCAGGTAGGATGCATCTCGTTTTCGGGAGGGTGGCCGTCGCCAGGGGTCAGCTAGAGTTTAGGTGTCTCACCTTTTAGAGTCTGCTTTTCCACTGAGGGAGAACTAAGCGGGCCCCAGTTTTAACTTAAGAGTCCTAGGAGAAGGCTGTGTACGTTGCTATGGAAAATAGAGAGGTGAGTCGTCCCTAGCGGGGTTGGGAAGAAGCCAAGCCGAAAAACTAACTCTTTCAAAGATGAGTGGCATTTAAGGTTTTCTTAGCAAATTGGAAGTTTCCTGGAACACTTGGCATAGCTGGAAGGAATTGATAAGCGGAGTGAAACAGTGCTGCTGACTTCCAGTCAGGTCAGATCCTGGTAAGTCAGGTAAGCCAGTAGTCTTATGTGCCTTGCTGACGACGGTCGCAGCATCGGAAGGTTTTAGAAGCAGGATTATAGTGTGGCACACTGGCCTTGGAAAGAGTATTGGCAGCTGTGTGGGGACCGTAGCCGCTGGGAGAATTGGGAAGCCAGGAGAGATTAGCTGCAATCAGTACCCTTCCCCTGCAGAATGCAGAGCTCCCCGAGAAGGAAAGGAGCTGCGGTACTGCACAGACACGCCTTTCCCCACGCTCAGCTCTTAGCTCCCTCCACCCTCAAACACTTCACTTGCTCCTGCAGTCTTCCCGCTTCTCACTGTTGCCCACGTTCCTCTCCACACTTATCCTTCCGGCAACTTCCTGAGTATGCAGATCTCCCAGAAACCACGGGCTCTTCCCTGCAAGGCTCTGAAGATCAACGTTAATCTGTTTCTTGTATTCTGCCTGCAGTGGATTCATAAATCACAATGGCAGTCATTCTATTAGAATATATACTTCTCTGTCTTGGAACTGTGTGCCTGATTACGTCCTCTCAGTTATGTGCTGCAAGGAGAGTAGGAACTGTACCTGAACATCTCCATTATCTCAAGAACATGGCGTGGCATCTGCCCCTCTGAGAACATGCACTAGTGCTTTGCTGCAGCGAGTAATGCATAAGAATGTGTTGTTTTTGCTTACTGCTCTGTCAAGGAATAGAAACGCAATTCAAGAGAGCTTAAAGTGCCCAGTTGCCTTCTGTTACTGGGATAAACTTGGATACATAACAGTGGCCAGATCTGAGGGCTCCAAGGATGCTCTATGCAATTGGAGTTTTTCTTTTCCCTCCAAGACAGGGTTTCTCTGTGTAACAGTCTTAGCTGTCCTGGAACTCGCTCTGCAGACCATGCTGGCCTCAAACTCACAGATATCCACCTGCCTCTGCCTTCTGAGTGCTGGGATTAAAGGTGCATGCATGCACCACCACCACCCAGCATAATTGTATTTTTATCTCTTGATTTTGCGTTTCCTTTTCCTTGAGCTCCTTTGTGCACTCCTGAAGTGGAGACAGTTGACACACGTCCTGAACAAGCAGGGATTCTGCAGAGAAAGCTTGGGACACCAACAGTATATCTGCTCGTGTCGACATATTTGAAGGAGAGTGACTGGACATCTCATTATGTGTATACTTACTTAGTAAGCATATCCACATATCCAGATTTCTTTAAAAAAAAACCTTTTAATTGCTGAAAAAAAATTTAAGCCAACCAGACATGTTAGGGCACACCTTTAATTCCATAAGCAATTTCCTGGGCAACCATGACTACACAGAGAAACTATGTTCGGAACAAAAACTTAAAAAAAAGAAAAGAAAAGAAAAAATTTAGGCAAACAGAAGTAAAGATGATTAGTAAATGAAATTTTAAGTACCCATGACCAACTTTGTTACTAGACATCAACACATAGCTAATTTTGTTTTATTACTGTACCCCCTACCTCCACTGGATTTTTTAAATCTGAAATTACTTCAGTATATACCTATAAGAGAAAATAACTGAAAGTGTAACTGGAGCCCGACACAGTAGCACATGGCTGAGAATCTAGCCCAGGCCCTCCTGCATGCTAAGCACTGACACTGAGCAGTGTCTCCACCTTTATCTTTCTCATTTTTTTATTCTCTGCCAGTCCAATTCTCTTTCTTTTCAGGATTTTTTTTGGGGGGGGGAGTGGGTGTTTCAAGGAAGGGTTTCCCTTTGTAGCTGTGGCTGTCCCAGGTCTTGCTCCGTAGACCAGGCTTGCCTTAAACTCAGAGATATGGCCCAGCCTCCTGAGTGCTGGGATTAAAGACATGCACTACCACTGCCCAGCTCTCTTTTATCTTTTTAAAAATATACATTTTACTTATTGTTTTCTGTGTGTGAGAGAGTGTGCATGTGTGCGTGTGTGCTCTTGCAGATTCTTCAAGGCACTCCCGTAGAGGTCAGAGGACAACTTGGGAGTCCATTCTTCTGCCATGTGGGTTTCAGGAATCAATTGCAGGTCATCAGACTTGACAGTAAGCTCCCTTATCCACTGAGCCACCTCACCAGTCTCCAAGTTCTCTTTTTCGTTATATTTTTAATTGATACGTAAAATTGTTGTATCTATGATGTACCATGTGTTAATATATGATATAATCAAATTCTTTTAATGTTTACCTTAGGATGTTTAATGTTTACCATGTAGTCTTATAATTTTCCCAACTATAAACATTCCTTATTTTGAATCCTTGTGGCATTATAAAACTACCTTTAAAAAAATCATTTTACAGAGCCAGATGTGGTGGTATGTGCCTTTTACCTTGGCACTTAAAGCAAAGGAAGGTGGATCTCTGAGTTTAAGGCCAGCCTGGTCTCCAAGGGAGTTTACAGGACAGCCAGGGCTACACAGAGAAACCCTGTAGTTTAAATAGTAAACAATTTGCTATTTAAATAACATAGATAGTATTATTAGAAATACCTAGTGTTGTCATTATTTCATGTTTAATTGTAAGGATCTTCATTGTTTTGTTTTTCCTGTCAGCTTTTGAGACTGTCTTATTGTATATCCCAGACTGATATTTTTTTGTTTTGTTTTTTGTTTTTCAAGATAGGGTTTCTCTGTAGCTTTGGAGCCTGTACTGGAACTAGCTCTTGTAGAGCAGGTTAGCCTCGAACTTACAGAGATCCGCCTTCCTCTGCCTCCCAAGTTCTGGGATTAAAGGCATGTGCCACTACTGCCCGGCTTCCCAGACTGATCTTAAGTTCATTTTTCTCCTGATTCTGCTCAGGCATATGCCATCATACCTGGTTATGACACTAGTTTCATAAATATGAATTTATTGAGGGCAAAGAGTCTCATGTATGTTACTTTCTGTCTAGTTTCTTAGTGCCTTAAGGCCATGTTAGAATGTATCTCTGTGATTAGTCTGTGAGTTCTTCAAGGACATGAACCATAATCTAATGATGTTGGTGATGGTAGTGCCAAGCCATCTAGAGGGCTGCATTAGTTACTCTTCTGTTACTGTGATGAAACACCACGACCAAAAGTGGTTTATGGAAGAGTTTGTTTTGGGTCACTGATCCAGAGGGGCGTTTCATAATGGTAGGACAGGCATGGCAGCATTTGGCTGGGTTAGGCGGCTGAGAGTTCACATCTTTAGCAAGCACACCAAGCACAGAGAGTGAACTAGAAGTGGGCAAGTAGGAACACTCAAAGTCTCCCTCCAGGAATGAATTTCCTTTGGCAAGGCTTCCATCCTTAAAATTCAGTAGCTTCCTCAAACAGTGCCACCGTCTGAGGACTAAGTATTCAAATGCCTGAGCCTATAGAAGACATTTCAGACCACCCCAAAAGTACACAGTAGATGTTTATTGAATATGCAGGTGAATTTATATGAGAAAGATTGTTCACAGTAAATAAATATTTTTGCAAAGCCCCTCTTTTTTTATGTGCTATTGGGGATTGAACTCAAAACATCAGGAATGCTTGGTAATTATTCTAGGTGAGCTATACCCCTAGTCTGTGAAATACTTAATTGTAAAACAAACAAAAGTCCTGAAGGTATTTGGTTTTTCTCTAATTTACATAATCTACATTCATTTTCATACATCCTGCTAGGTTTCCTTTTGTCATAGCATTATCTGTACCTTCCCCTTAAAAAACAGTCTATAAATAACAGTTGCTTATTTCCTCCATTAGCTCTGATGTCCAAAAGTTTGTAAGAAAATAAAATGGTATTTAAAATATATTACCTTTTGATTTTTCTTTATTTTTGAGACTTTCATCCGCATATACATAAATCCCATTTCCTCTCCAACTCCTTCCATGTCTCCTTCCCAATTTCATATCTAGCTAGTACTACCCATGTGTGCATGGATGTGGAACCATTCACTGCATGGCAAGCATACCAGTGACTATACCTTCAAAGAAGAAGTTGACTAGTAGAAAACAGTAGTACCCCTTTTCATGGCTTTGGACTTATTTTTTTCTTCTAACATTTATTTATTTATGGTGTATATGTGAATGAATGTGTACCACAGCATGCTTGCAAGGGTCAGAAGACAACTTTGGGGAGTTGCTTCTCTCTTTCTGACATGTAGGTTCTAGGAAGCAAACTTGGGTTTTCAGGTTTGGCAGCAAGCACCTTCACCTACAGAGCCACCTTACCAGAACCATGGTTTTCTCTTAATGAAAATGTAAATGTTAAGATTAAATTGTACTAATTATGCTTTTACAAATTTGTTTAAAACTGGATTTTTGCTTTCCGGTAATAAATTTAGTTTTTACTTTCTTTCAGCATGCTTGAATTTTCTGAAGTTGTGCAAAATAAAATATTACAATTATTGCCTTATTCACAATGTACAGGTAAGTTGGTAGATATAAGTCATGCTCTTTGTTATTGGAAACATCTAGCAAACTGTGAATTAATGAATAATTCTGTATATTATAGAGGGATTTTATCATACAAACAGGAGATCCTACAGGAACTGGCCGTGGAGGAGAGTCTGTATTTGGGTAAGTTCTTATGTAAATATTTTAGTTAGGGTTTCTATTACTGTGATCATGATCAAGAATCAAACTTGGGGAGGAAAGGGTTTATTTATTTCTGGTAATACTCCATTACTAAAGGAAATCAGGACTGGAATTTAAGGCAGAAACTGAAGCAGAAGCTATAAAGGAGTACTTCTTGTAAGTGGAGACTGCTCTTTCATTTCCTGGCCACCTAGACCCAAATAATCACGCAGAAACCATATTAATTACAACACTGTTTGACCAATAGCTTAGGTGCATTTCTAGCTAGCTCATATCTTAAATGAACCCTTTTCTATTAATCTGTGTTTTGCTATGAGTCTGTGGTTTACCAGGCAAGGTTCTGGCGTCTGTCTCCTTCAGCAGCTACATGGCATCTCTTTGACTCCATCTACTCTCTATCTCTGTTCTGATTTCCCACTTGGCTTTACTCTGCTAAGCCATTGGCTAAAACAGCTTCTTTATTAACCAATAAAACATATTCACAGCTCAGTGTACTTTCTTATACAACCTGGAACTACTTGCCAGGGATGGCACTGATTTCCTATGAACTGGGCCCTCCTACATCAATCATTAATCAAGAAAATGTTCTATATACTTGCCTACAGGTAATCTGATGAACCCATTTTCTCAATTTAGGTTCTCCTTTCCAAATAATTCTTAACTCTAGCTTGTGTCAACTTGATTAAGGAAAAAAAAAAAAAAACAAAAAACCAAAACATCATCACCACCACCACTACCAACAACAACAAACCAACGAGGACAGTATATATGTATGTATGAACTCAATCTCTATCAAGCTGAGGATGGGCTTGAATTAGTCTTCTTGCTTCTGTTTTCCAAGTTCTGGGATTAGAGGCATGCACCATTACACCTGGCTTAACATGCTTGTGCATTCTATACATGTATTCTCCTGTTTGAGCTATGCCCCTTCCCTCTTTTTACTTCTCTGTTCTTTGATTACTTTTGAGATAGGGTCTTACTTGTAGCCCAGACTAGCCTAGAACTCACCATGTAGCCTAGGCTTGGCTCAGATTCAAGATTCTTATGTTTCAACTTCCTAAGTTTTGGGTTATAGATGTGCGTCATCACTTCTGTCTCAGATGATATTATTTATTTGGTTTTATGAGATAGTCTCATCTTAGTTCAGGCTGTTTTGGAATTCATTGTGTTGCCCAGGCTGGTTTCAAACTTGTTACAACCCTCCTGCCTCCCAAGTACAGGTTTATATGTGTATTTACTTAGGTATTCATTAATTCATTCTTTTATTGTGTGTATGTCTGTATGGACATGCATGCCATGAGTAAAGATCGGTACAGTTTGTAGGAGTCTGGTTTCTCCATCCACCATGTGGATTTTGAGGATCAAATTTAGGTCATTATGCTTGGTGGCGTGCACCTTATCTCCTGAGAGCTCACAATCCTACTTCTTTTATTTTTTTTTAAATTAATTTTTATTTGTTTATGTGTGTGTGTATTTTCATGGAGATCAGAGCACAAATTGAAGGGATCATTTCTTTCTACCATCTGAATTCTGGGGCCCTAACTCCAGCTGACTGACTTGGTGGCAAGCACCTTTATCATTTGAGTCATCTCAGCAGCCCTCTTTATTTATTATTTATTATTATTTACTTACTATGTATTTAGAAGTCTCACTGTGTAGCCCTTGCTAGCCTGAATCTCAGACTTTAATTTGGCCCACCAACTCACATATAATGACATGGAGACTTAGACTTATTAATTATGAAAGCTTGACCATAGTTTAGACTTTTTCCCACTAGCTCTTTTTTTTTTTCTTTTTTCTTTTCTCTTTTTCCTTTTTCCTTTTTCCTTTTTCTTTTTTTGGTTTTTCAAGACAGGGATTTTCTGTAGCTTTGGAACCTGTCCTGGAACTAGCTCTTGTAGACCAGACTGACCTCGAACTCACAGAGATCCGCCTGCCTCTGCCTCTCAAGTTCTGGGATTAAAGGCATGCACCACTACAGCCTAGCTCTTATAACTTAAATTAGCCTGTTTTTATTAATCTACATTTTGCCCTGTGGCTCGGTTACCTCTCTTCTGTACTGTATGTCCAACTTCTTCAGTGCCTCCTGGTGTCTCATCCTAAGTCCCCTCTGTCTGGAAGTCCCACCTATTCTCTCCTGCCTAGTTCTTGGCTATTTAGCTCTTTATTAAATCAATCACAGTGATGCATCTTCACACAGTGTAAACAAATATTCTGCAACACCAACTGACATTGAACTCACAAATATCTACCTGCTTCTGCTTCCCAAGTGCTGGGATTAAAAGTGTATGCCATCATGTTCAACATTTTATTTTATTTTACTTTTTGGTTTTTCTAGACAGGGTTTCTCTGTATAACTTTGGCTGTTCTAGAATCCACTCTGTAGACTAGGCTGACCTGGAACTTACAGAGATCTGCCTGCTTCTGCCTCTTAAGTGTTGGGATAAAGGTGTGCCACCACCACCAGCTTTTCATTTTTAAATAAGAACGAAGTATAATTGTTGTACTTCATGTTAAAATATCATTCAAATTCTAAGGTAGTTCCCTAGGTTCTGAGAATACCTGTAAGAAAAAGGAATATTTGAATCATAGTGGGATATCTATAAAAGACACAATAACACTGTAAATAAATAATAAATACTGCTATACTATCTGTATTTCATTTTGAGAGTATTTATAACTTTATTGTATACTTTCAGACAACTGTATGGTGATCAAGCAAGCTTTTTTGAGGCAGAAAAAGTGCCAAGGATTAAGCACAAGAAGAAAGGCACTGTGTCCATGGTGAACAATGGCAGTGATCAACATGGATCTCAGGTTAGAACATGGATGGGAGATGAGCTTTGTTTAGGTTTGAAGAACTGGAAGGAGCCTATGAAGTTTTCTTTTTAAGTTACTCAGCAATGAGAGAATATACTAAAGGACATTTTTAAGGGAGAAATACCAGCTATTTCTTTTCTACATTAAAAGGGAAGGGGGGCAGAGAAATGGCTTAGTGGTTAAGAGCACTAACTGCTCTTCCAGAGGACCCAGTTAAATTCTTAGCACCCACAAGATGGTTCACAATGAAACTCCAGTTCCAATGCATCTGATGCCCTTTTCTAGCTTTCATGAACACTGTGTACACATGTGCCCATGTCTTGTTGATCAACGGAACATCTGTGCACCTGTTGATACACACACAGTCTGTGTTTTTTATTTAGTTCTAGAAATAATTGATACAGTAAATATAGAGTCTTTGTGTTGTTTTCTTTAGAGTTATAAGTGATTTCAGAGTTACATATTTTTAAAAAATATTTATTATGTACTCTTCGGTCTAGTTTCTTATTACTACAGGAGAAAATCTAGATTACCTTGATGGTGTTCATACAGTGTTTGGTGAAGTGACAGAAGGCATGGACATAGTTAAGAAAATCAATGAGACCTTTGTCGACAAGGATTTTGTACCATATCAAGATATCAGGTATGTTTACCTTTCCTATCTTAATATACTAGAATGTTTTAACACTGTGATGTTGAACATGGCATGGATGAGACTTCTATACATAGAACTAAAATCTCAGTGTCTTTTATTTTCTGTGATAAAATACTCTTAAAGTAATTTAAGTGGTGGTGATTTATTCCTTTAATCCCAGCACTCAAGAGGCAGAGGCAGGCAGATTTCTGTGAGTCTGAGGCAAGCTCCAGGACAGCCAGGGCTACACAAAAACCCTGTCTCAAAAAAACAAAGTAAAATAAAATAAAATAAAAAGCAACTTAAGGAGAAAAGGGATTATTTCAGCTCACAGCTCAAGATTGTAGTAGGGATAAAGTAAGGGTGATTAAAGTGGTGAAGCAGAGCAAGGAATGCCTATGCTTAGCTCCCCCTCTCCTTTTCTGTCAGTCCAGGGAGATGAGGTGGTGCCTCCCATATTCAGGTGGATCATCTCATCCCTCAAGCCAGTTAGTGGTGGTGCATGCCTTTAAGCCCACTACTTGGGAGGCAGAAGCAGGTGGATCTCTGATTTTGAGGCCAGTCTGGTCTACAGAGTGAGTTCCAGGACAGCCAGGGCTATACAAAGAAACCCTGTCTCTGGGTGGAGGGAGGGGAAGGCAAAGAAAGAAAATTCCACACAGGCATTCTCACAGATCACTTTAATCCAGACTCCTTTTCCAGGTGTTTCCAGATCCTGTAAGGTTGACAATTGAAATTAAGCATCACAACAAGTTCCAGAATAATTCTATAGTGTGAATTAATATGAAAACATTAGAATCTCATGAAAAGGAGCTTTTATATTTTTTTCTCTTGCACTAATTATTATATTGGTAAGAATTACTCTTGTTTAAGTTTATTTTTTTCCAGAGTCAGGTTATTAAAAAAATTAGAGCACAAGTAACAAGGTTTAGAAATGTACTTTTTTCCTTTTCCTCGTTCTTTCTCGTTTTAGTTTTTCACGTGTGTATTTTGAGGCAGGGTCTCACTCTGTACCCCACCTTACTTGGAGCTTTGTCTCTAGCTCAGGTTCTCCTTGACCCCCTGAGTGCTGGGGGTTACAGGTGCCAGCTATCATGCCCAGCTTAATTTACGTCATAAAGTAATGTGGAGCAATGATGCTGAAGGAAATGTGGTGCTGCTCATTATAAAAGTATACTTTATACACCCATGCACTGTGGAGTCTTTGGACATTAGAAATACTTATATGTTAAAGTCTGAAAATAAGTGTGGATTCTGAAATAAATGTAACATTTAACTTGGATTTGTTTTGTAAGGATAAATCATACAGTGATTTTAGATGATCCGTTTGATGACCCTCCTGATTTATTAATTCCTGATCGATCACCAGAACCTACAAGGGAACAATTAGATGTAAGTAGCATTTGGTGTTGTTTGTTTGTTTTCTTTCTTTTGAGACAGAGTCTCACTAGTTAGTTACTAGCCTGGAATTTTGCTGTGTAGACCAGGCTGTCCATGAATTCACAGAGATCTGCCTGCCTTTGCCTCCTATGTTTTGGGATTAAAGGAGTGCTCCACCACACCCAGCTAGTACCACCTTCTTGTATAGGTATATTAAAGTGTTTCTTTCTATCTTGTTTATTATACTAGAACAGGTTTGGAATTCTTTTCTTGCCCATAGAGATGCTTATTTTTGTAATTATTTCATTATTTCCTTAGTTTCTCTCTTTAGTTTCTATTCCACCAGAAGTCTCAGTTCTCAGACCTTATATAAGCAGTGCTTTGGGAAGGTTTTCTTATCTCCCAACTCTAGGAGAATAGCCTCATGGTAACTGAAAGAGCATCTTGTAAAATACTTTTGAAATGGGTTTATTCTGTAGCCAAGCTAGGCCCAGACATTTCTGTGGACTGCAGGGAATGTTCTCTAAGGCATTTTAAAGTATAAATTTAAGGTGTTCATGATGCTTTCTCAAAGCTGAATTTATGGTTGGATTTGGTGTTTTAATTCTAAAATTATGTATCCTTTCTATTGAATACGTAATTGGATAATTGTATCGATATAAACATTTCTTTTGATTTTGCAATTAGTCAGAAGCCGAGTCTGGCAAATACTATAGACTTAATTTAAATGAGTGCCCAGAGATTTGTAAGTTTCTATTCTATTTCGTTTGATAGGTCAAGAATAAAACATGATATCTTCCATGATTCTCCCTATTTTTAACTTCTATTTTACAGAGTGGTCGAATAGGAGCAGATGAAGAAATTGATGACTTCAAAGGAAGATCAGCTGAAGAAGTAGAAGAAATAAAGGCGGAAAAAGAGGCTAAAACTCAAGCTATTCTTCTAGAGATGGTAAGGTAATAATTTTGGTCAGAAAGTTATTATGTAGCTCATGCTATGTAATATATGGTATATAACTTACAGAACATATTCTTGGAGTTTATCTGCTTTTATAGTAATAAACTAGTAAAAGTTTAGTGAGATTTCCCCCCTCAATTACATTTTGTAGAAAATAATAACAGAAAAATAAACAGTTTGGTTTTGTTTTTTCATTAATTACTGAGGGCTTTTTTACAAACTGGGAAAGGTTAGGTGAGGTGGTGAGTAAAGGTGCTTGATGACAAGCCTGTTGACCTTAGTTGGGTCACCAGAACACACATGGTGAAAGGAGAGAGACAACTTCTGTAAGCTGTCCTCTGCCCTCTATATGTGCACCATAGTATGTACATGCTCATGTTCACAAACACACATCACATGCACACGTACACAAATTAATGTATAATAGCAATTAAAAAATAGGAGATGGTCATCTAAGTTATAAGTATTAGGATTTTAGTTAGTTTTCATATAATTTTTAAACATTGCTTATTACACTGCATTTTATGTATATTGGAGAATAGTTTTTGAACTGATTAATCATTTAATTCCCTATAATGAAACACATTTCATTGGCTAGATATCTCAGCCCAGTTAATTAGGTGTATGTTTGCATGTGTGAGTGCAGGTACCCACGGAGGCCAGACGTTTCAGGTCCTCATGGAGCTGGAGTTACAGGTGGTTGTGAGCCTCTGGGAGCCAAAATTAGGTTCTCTGAAAGAAATTAGGAGCTTTTAGTGCATCTCCTTACCACTGAGCTATCTCCCCAGTCTCTTGTGAGTTTTGTCCCTACTCCCTACAAACTTCTTATTTGTTCTTTTGTCATTTATGGATTTTTATTAACTTTTTTTTTCTCTTTTGCATTATGATCTTTCTTTATCTCTCTCTATTTATTTATTTATTTATTTATTTATTTATTTATTTATTTGAGACACGGTCTTACTGTACTGCCAAGGCTAGTCTTCCTAGGCTCATCAGCCTACCAAGTAGCCTGGACTCCAGCCCAGAGTGTGCTACCATGCCTGGCTGCCTGGCTGCCTGGCTGTGATACTTGACATTGGGCATAGTTAATAGGCTGTTGTTGCCTTTGACTGTAACATGAAGACTGGCTTGTTGGGATTTCTGTCCCACCTGGTACCCCACAGCCGGCAAGCCCCAAAGAAAATCACACAAAGATCTCTATTAGTTATAAAGCTGATTGGCTCATTCGGTAACCAATTATTAGCTAATTCTTATTAGCTAATTCTTACATCTTACGGTAACCCATAATTCTTGTCTGTGTTAGCCATGTGGCTCAGTACCTTTTTCAGATGTCAGTTCACATGTTGCTTCTTCAGTGATCTGGGTAGGAATGACAGAGGGAGCTTCCTCCTTCCTAGCCTTCTCCTGTTCTCATCGCCCCACCTATACTTCCTGTCTGGTTGACCCACCTATACTTCCTGCCTGGCCAATCAGCGTTTTATTAAAATACACGTTTGATAGAATACAGACAATTCTCCTGCACCATTTGACAGGCTTCAAAAATGTTGAACACATTTATGGCTTTGTAGCTTCTTCTGTTTCTGAATTTAAAGATTTTATTTTTAGTGTGTTTGTTCAGTAGACGATTCTTTACATGATTATCTCAGAGTTTTCAAATACATATAGTAGAATATTGTTGCCCACAAAATGCTTGTAGGAAATAAATTACATCAGCATGGTTCTATCTCACTGCTGCCCTTAGAAGTCTTTAATAGGAAGTGTAGGAAGTGCATTATGGTGTGCTCTGGCACACTGGTGCAACAGCTGACTTTGATCTTAACTTTAGTCTGCATAAAGAAAAAGGTGTCAGATTAAGACTGTAAGGGAAAAAAATATGTAGAAATTGTGATTCTATATTGAAAAGCAGTATGGAAAGAACTAGGTATTACAAATCACTGAAGACTAGATTACACATGATTATATTCAAAAATCAGTAACAAAGCTAAATAATATATTCATTAATGATGTATGTGGTAAATATCTTAGACTATGAGAAGGAATAGCCAAAAAGGGGACAAAAATATGTGATCTTGTCGGTGGGGGCACCCACCTTTAATCCCAGCACTTTCGGGAAGTAGAGGCAGGCGAATTTTTGGGAATTTCAGACCAACCTGGCCTACAAAGCAAGTTCCAGGACAGCCAGGGCTGTTACACAGAGAAACCTTGCCTCAAAAAAAAAAAAAAAAAAAAGGAAAATGAAAATGTGCTTTTGCTGCACATGCAGCTTGCCCTTTGTTTTTGCACACTTTCCTCTTGCGATTCCTCTTACCACTCAGAGTACAAATTGCCTGACGCTGTGAATAAAGCTGGCTATTGCATGAGACCTCATCTAATGGCTCCGTTCTTCCAGGCCCTACCACCTTTATAGTAAACACATATGGTAGAGAAACACAACTCCCAAAATTTGTCCCTTGACTGCCACATGCATACCGTAACATGCATGTACTTATACACATACACACCAAAACCAAAATGTACTAATATTGTTTTAGTTAAAAAAGTCTGATACTATATTTTTCCTGGTATTAACAATATTAATAGCTAGTATGTTTTTACCTAACTTGATACTTACAAATCATTACTGCTAATTCTTCAAGCAATACCACAATTTTCATTCATATATTTACTTTTAAAATTTATGTTTTAGACAGACTCTTACTGGAACTCAGCATAAACACAAACTTGGGTTCCTCCTAGCCCCACCTTCTGAGAACCTAGATTACAGGCCTGTGCCACAACACCAGGCACAATTTCCATTTTAAAGGCAAATGCAGTGAAATCAAAAGGGTAATAACTAGGATAGGAATCCAGATCTATCCTGGCTTCAAAAGTTCCAAATTATTTCCATTTTTTCTTTTTTAAAGTATTTGATATATTGTTTTCCAAAAGAAGATCTAAAGTATAGTTATGAAGCATAACAATAAAAACCACTGGGCTAGCTCAGAAAGTAAAAGCACCTGCCACCTAGTGAACTAAGTTGGATCCTCAGTGGAAGCAGTGAACCAATTGCTGTTCATAGTACTCGGACCTTCACACGTATACCTAATATACATCCACACACAAAATAAAAGTAATGCATTCCAAAATTAATTAATAAATGAAATAAAAACTACCTGGCTAAGAACAAATATACTTTCTGGTCCTATTGTCCTTGTTTCTCTCACAACGATCACTTTTTAAAAAAGATTTATTTATTATTATTATATTTATTTGCTTGCCTGTTTGTTTATTATACATGCAGACATGCAGTGTTCTGCCTGCATGTATGTCTGCAAGCAAGAAGAGGGCATCTGATCTCATTATAGATGGTTGTGAGCCACCATGAAGTTGCTGGGAATTAGACTCAGGACCTCTAGAAGAGCAGTTAGTGCTATTAAACTCTGAGCCATCTCTCCAGTTCCTCCTATTTTTGTTTTTTTTTTTTGAGATAGAATTTCTCTGTGTAATAGCCCTGGCTGTCCTGGAACTTGCTTTGTAGACCAGGTTGGTCTCAGACTCACAAAGATCTGCCTGCCTCTGCCTCCCAAGTGCTGATATTAAAGGCATTCACCACCACTGCCTCATGTTTTTCCCATATATACATATAGACAAATAACAATAACCAAGTTACAATGAATAATCTGAAGTAAACTCACTCCCGCCACTACACCTGGGAGAGGCATGAAAGTACAATTTAAGAACAATTCCAGGTTTTTTAGGAGACTGAGGTCACAAGGCTCTTGTCTTGGTTTCTTGGAGTTTTCTCACAAGTGCTCAGAACTCTCCTACCTCTCCATTGTTGGGCCATATTCTGATATATCTGAGCCCTCAGGAACTGAACTCAGGTCACTGAGCGTGTGGCAAGCACCTTTAGTTCGTATGTCATCTTTTTAGCCCTTGAAATGTTTTTCTACATTTTCTACATATAGTTCATGATGTAAATTTAGATGGTTCTAGGAAATCAGTGTTGTAGACTTGGACAAAATATTTGGAAGAGAAGTTAAAGGAATTGATTTGTGTGCTTGATTATTTGTAACTTTAGGTGGGAGACTTACCTGATGCAGATATTAAACCTCCAGAAAATGTTTTGTTTGTGTGTAAATTGAATCCAGTGACCACAGATGAGGACTTGGAGATAATATTCTCAAGATTTGGGCCAATAAGAAGGTAATCCTGGGAGTAATAAAAGAGATATTTGGAAATGTCTAGGTATTAATTAATTGATTGATTGGTGTTTGTGTGTGTTTTGTTTTTTGTCGTTTTGAAATAGGGTCTCATTTGTAGCCCTAGATGGCCAGCAATTTTCTCTATATACCACGCAGAGCCTGAACTCAAGGAGATTCTCCTGCCTCTGCCTACTGAATGGTAGGACTTAAAGCACCATGCCACCACACCCAACAGAGTTTTCTAATTACACACTTTGGAGAAGCTTGGCAATTCTGGGTGAATTTTTTTTTTTTTTTTTTTTTTTGGTGGCCGGAGGATCAAACCTAGGGTACTATGCTTGTTAAGCAAACCTCTACCACTGAGACATGTTCCCAATCCCTTTGGTGAATTTCACATTGGTGATTTTTATAAGTGAGTATTTCAACAGTAGAAAAGGAAAGTATGTTTTCAGATAATGCACAAATTAAATATTTGAGTGATTCCTCAATTCTTAATACATTTTCACAGTAAAATATGAGTTAAACAATTTTCTACTTGTATAATACTCTCAACAATCTTAATATTTAAAATATTTATCTCATTTAAATTAACTCCTGAAATTATTAGCAGCCTATGTCACTATTAAAATTACCAAGTTTTATGGATTTATTTTTTAAACTGAACATGTAGCTACGGATAACTTGGAACTTGATTCTCCTGCTTTTACCTCCTGAGTGCTAAGATTATAGGTGGCTACCACACTCAGTTTCTGTGGTTCTGTTGATTGAACCTAGGGCTTTTTGCATACTTGACAGACTCTTTATCAGTTAAGCTTTGTGTCCAGCTCTCTCTCTCTCTCGCTCTCACCCCCCCCGTGTGTGTGTGTGTGTGTGTGTGTGTGTGGTGTACATGTGCGAGTGCACGAGGTTTTTAAGACAGGGTCTCACTATCATAGCCTACTCTGACCTTGAATCTATCTTCCACACTAATGAGTGTTGGGATTACAAGTTAACATTACCATACCTCAAAAGCATAAAATTGTGACTTATTCTTGTGGGTTTTATTTTTATTTTGCATGTGCAGGTCTACATAGAGACCAAAGAGCAACCTTGGGTATTTTCCTCAAGCAGTGTGTAATTTTTTTTTTTTTTTTTTTTTTGCATTAGTGTTTCTTACTGGCTGGTGCTCACCAAGTAGGCTGTGCTGGCTGGCTACACTGAGTCCTAGGGATCTAGGGATTACAAACTCACATCACTGCATACTCAGGTCCCCATGCATTCAAGACAAACACTTTACAAACTACCAGACCACCCCAGTGAAAAATTTTTTCTTTTGGTTAATTTTCCCTTTATTATCCCTTTTTATCATTAAGTATTTTATTTTAAATATTATTATTTTTAAAAAGTATGTGTGAGTATATGCCACATTGCATGGGTGTCCTTGGAGGGTAGAAAAGGACATCAGATCCCAGAACCCAGAACTCTAGAGTTAGAGATAGTTGTGAGTCATCTGCTGTGTTGCTGGGAGTGGAATATAGGTCCTCTGGCAGAGCAGCAAGTGCTCTGACCCTTTGAGCCAGCTCTCCAGCCATTATTTATTTATTTATTTATTATTATTATATTATTTTAAAAATAAGCTAGTACTACCATTTTAGAAAATATACAGCTCTCAGGAAATAGTTCTTTCTCTTTTTTTTTTGTTTTTTTGAGACAGGATTTCTTTGTGTAGCTCTGACTGTTCTGGAGCTTGCTCTGTAGACCTGTTCTTAAACTTAGAGATCCGCCTGCCTCTGCCTCGAGTGCTGAGTTGAAAGGCGTGCGACACCATCACCTGGCTCAGATGGTTCTCTTCTCTATGTGGGCTCTAGGGAGTGAACTTAGGCCATCAGTCCCCAGAGCAAGTACCTTTGCTTCCTGAACCATCTCACGGCCCCTCTCCTATATTATTAAGGCAAAAATCTGCAAAGTTAGTCAGATTTTCTAACTGATCAACATGTCCTATGGTTAGGATGTCCTTTCATTTAATGATTTTAAATTGGTCCTTCTTGACTTTTTCCTTTAATACTGTTTGGTGAATTAGTTTTGTGTGGTACCTGTATTTACAGTATTTGAATCTTGTTTACTTTAAAACTCACGGCATAAGCTTAAACTATGGTGGCTCATGCCAATAATCTAAGAAGGTGGGAGATGGCAGCAAGGAAATCTCAATAGCAAGGGCAGTCAGGTGTGCATAGTGAGTTCCAGGCTAGCCAGGGCTACATAGTGGGTCCTTGTATCACATTCAAAAGCATAAACATACTAATAAGCACTTATATATGTAACATATTATTTAAGTCTTTTATGTTTGAACTAAAAAAAGACTTTATGATTTAATGATTTTACTAGACATGGTAGTGTATGCCTTTAATCTCAGTACATAAAAGGTTGGGGCAGGAAGATTGCTGTGAGTTTGAGATTACCTGGGATTCAGAATGAGTACCAGGCCAACCAGGGCTGCACAAGAAGACCTTGCCTCAAAAATGTGAAAATAAACAAAATAATTTTAAGGTGAAAAGAATTTAGCAGTTTATTTTTGTTAAAAAGAAGCCTGCCTCCATCTATACCACTATAACCTAGTTTGTGTATTTGGAATAGAATTTAGATAATTCAGTTACTAGAGTGATGAACTGTATATGTATATGTGTTTAGATAGAGTTGTTACTGAAAACTTTGCTGTATGTGAGTTTAATAACTGGCTTATTTTGTTCTGGTCTGAAGAATTAGAGAAAATGTTTTTTGTTTTATTTTTTTAAGTGACTTTTCAAGAAAAAAAAATTCTTTTTTTCAGTTGTGAAGTTATCCGAGATTGGAAAACAGGAGAATCCCTCTGTTATGCTTTTATTGAATTTGAAAAGGTATGTCATAGTCTAAATATACCAGATTCTGTTTTTTCTTACTTATTTTCTGAGCATGAGTTCTTGTGTTGCCTTGGCTGATGTCATACTAGTTATCTTCCTGCTTTGGCCTCCCGTGTATCTGATTAGAGGTATGCACCCCTGCACCTGGTTGTTTTGTCTTTGAATAGTCTCCCAAGTGTTGGGATTAAAAGTGTGTGCCGCCACCGCCTGGCTTAACTGAAGTTTTTGTTTGGTCCCCCCCCCACACACCCCAGCTCCAGTTCTTTGTGTGTGCTGTGTGTGCTAAGCAAGGGTCCTACTATGCTGAGTTTTCTCCAACCCCTGCTAAATTACTTTTAACACCAAGTTTATGAAGACGACATTCACTTTGGGGATATAGTATTTTTGAGTTTTGAGTAGCTGTAACTGGAATTTTAGGCTTGCATCACCCAGATGGTAAGTGTATGTATGTCTACTACAGTCAGACCGCCTCAGTTCAAATGATGGCTCTGACCTTTGGCTACTTCTATACTATATCTCATTAAACTCTTCTGTTTTATCATTGAGATAATGGAGGTAATAAATAGATGGAGCCTCAAAATGTTATTACTGGGGTGCAGATGCAATGCATTTAATATCTGGTATAAAAAAGTTTTGACTATTATTTTAGTAATAACAGCCCTTTTTATTTACAATATTTGTTCTAATTGCAGAAATCTTTCCTGTAAACATTCATGCTTGATTTTTTTTTGATTTTTTTTTTTTGTAATCACTAATAGGAAGAAGACTGTGAGAAAGCATTCTTCAAAATGGATAATGTACTTATTGACGACAGGAGAATACATGTGGATTTTAGCCAGTCTGTTGCAAAGGTTAAATGGAAAGGGAAAGGTATGTTAGTTTATCTCCTTTCTTTGATGTTCTGCTTCAGGTGTTTGTATGCGTGTGTGTGTATCTGTGTGTATGTACCACACCTGAAGCAGAACATCAAAGAAAGGAGATACCACTTATAATCTGTTTTCCATGATTTTACTGCATTTTAAAAATAAGAAATAAATAGGATTATTTGTTGGTCAGTGGTAGGGGTTAGAAGAGGGAGAAATCAGTTAGTAGAGTTGACAACTAGAAGGCCCACTGGAATCTGTGATCTCTGTAGGAGTAAATGACTTGGTTCATGGTCCTGTGCTCTCTCTATTTCTGTGATCTTTCCTTGATATTGAAATACATGATTGTGCTCTTTTGAGTGCTTTGTGAAAATGAATTGATAGTTTTCCTCTATTTTTTTTTAATTAAGGCCTATAAAAATCCAGGTAAAAATCTGGTCTCTGTGAAGAACTTTCCTTCTTTCCATTGTTTCTTCACAACAACCTTTACCTCATCAGAAGTCATGCTGATATTTTCTCAGTACACCCAGCTAGTGTCTCACCCTTTGTCTTCCCATTTAAAAATCAAACTCATTTTCAGTCTACTGCTTAGAGAGCATATAATTCTCTCTGCTCCACAAAGAGAACTTTTTAGTTCACAGATCATAATGAAGAGTCAGCTTCTCTTGTGGTTGAAGGAGAAACCTGTCCCATCTTGGCTCACCAGTCTCACCAGAACGAGTTTTGACTTGCTCTTGATAAAAGTGATCGTGGAAAGCAGCATGGTGTCCGTCCCTGTACTCTTTGCCAGAATGGGCTGTTGTTTTTGTTTTTTACATATTATAATTACAGTATTATGTGGGGAAATTATAAGTCTATTTATTTAGGATTAGTGTTAGCTGCTGACTTAGTGGCTCTGATTGACAATGTAGCATGAGTATTTCAGTTGGGTGTTTAATATTCATATATGTCAGTAGATGGCAGCATTTGGCTACCAAGAAAATTGAACATACCCTTTCAACTATACTGACAGCAGAGACAGGTTTGCTATGGTTCTTTTGTCCTTTACTTTTTCTGCTTCCCAATGTGTGCCTTTTATACAGTAGCCCTTTGTGAGTTATAAACTCGCTGGTGTTTCATTATGTGATACTAATTCTTTTTCTTCTTAATAAATAGGTGGGAAATATACCAAGAGTGATTTCAAGGAGTATGAAAAGGAACAGGATAAACCATCCAATTTGGTTTTGAAAGAAAAAGTAAAGCCCAAACAGGAGTATCCTTTACAAGAGTCGTATGCACATCCATCCATTGTATGGGTCATTTGTGAAGGAACAGTTTGCTGTCACAACTTTTCAGTGTCTCCCATAGACTTTGCTTTTTATTATACTTTGTATTATGGAGAAAATTATGTTTGAAAGAAACTTTAGGTCTAAATATTTTACCTCCTACTTTTACATTAAATACTTTCCTACTTACCCAATGTTCTTTAGGTAAATTTTTTATTTGCTAATGTTTTGTGTTATTCATTCTCTTTCATTTCCTTATCTAGATAACAAAATCTTATGGTTCTCTGTCACATAATTAGATTGCTTTTCTTCTGCATAATACATTGTCATTTTAGCAACAAAAATTTGTTTAAGACTTCTTCCTGTTCAGTGCAATAGTTGACATTTACAGGATTAAGAACAAATCTATCGACTTGACCATATAATTCAGATTCTTCCAAGTTTTAAGTTGAGACAAGTGAAAAAAGCAGTGAAACATACTGTTCGTATTGTGTCATTTTTATTGTTTGACAGATTTTCCCATTATAAACCTATCACTCCACACTTTGCAAAGGTCATTTCTTTGGCAATTATGTCTGGTAAATGGCATCTTTGTTTCCTCGTTTCTGTTGATGGAAAGAAGTTCTCTTTTCCTGTGTTACGTAGGCATGTCTTCTCCAAGTATTCATCAAGGAGAGATGAGTATCAGATTAGCCTTTAGATATTCACGCTTTAAAATGTGTTGTTGTCTGCGGTGCACAAAGCTTTGCGATGTGTTAGAGTCTGAGGGGGCAGGCAGCATCAACCTAAGAAGCTTCACAGGCAGCCAAACCAACGAGCTGAGGTTGATCCTTAAGAAAGGATGTTAGGAGGCATGTGATTGAAGCTCAGGATCATAAAAGGCATAGATGAATATGTGCGGATGTTACCCTGACATCTGTGAAGTAAGTTTAGTCTAAGCACTAAGAAGGGGAGTGTATAGGAAAAATAAAGGAAGTGTAGCTGCAGTGCATAAAGCAGACATGTTTACCATGGAGTTTGTTCAGACTATAAGGAAGTCAGTGTGTTATTTTAAAGTTTGTAGCCCCAGAATGTTTTAATAAGTGTTAGTCATCCACTCTACTTATTGGCTTATTGCAACCCTTCATACTATTTCCTTTACCCATCATCTAGAAAGTGCATGCATGAAGTTCAGTTACTCAAGATGGGGCACGATTAGGCTTGTGACTTAATAAGAACCTCATCTTAAAATATAAAGTTTTTATCTTCTCTAGCGAAAGTATATGTACTCTTTTTCATACACACCCAGTCCCCATATACAAGTGAAACAAAATCTTACTAAGTTTTGTGGGCATTTTTTTGTTTATTGTTTTCTTACAGTGCTAGGGACTCCCCCAAGGCCCGTGCACATATGAGGGGATTGCTCTACCACTGAGCTGCATTCTAGCTAACTGTATTTTGGAAGTGCTGTTCTCTATTTCTTTATTCTGTGTGATTCTAAAATTGCTAGTTATGACCTATAAATTCTACAGCTCATTGTTGAATTATGACCATTAGTTTGAAGAACACTGGAAATAATCATACATAGTATAAAAGAGGAAAGAAATTTTAGGTAATAAAGTAATAATGAGACTGATGGTCCATCTCTGGCCATCTTGTGGAAAGCTAGAAGGGATATCATTAACTTTTTGATCTTATGTGTATATGGGATATGCGAAGGAGAAGCCTAAGCAGTACCACTATGAAGACAAACGTTAAAAAAAAAAAAAGAAAACAGACATTAGATTCTGGTCCTTAAAGGACATGTCTGTGTTGACTCTAGTCCCCAGTGCAACTAAAATAGCACTTGTGTGTTAGGCTTCCTCATGTTCCTCACAGTTCAGAGCTCAGCCTTCAGAGCGCATTTTAGAAATGGAGATTATTTTTACATGAGGTTTATTGCTTTCTCTTAGTTTATTTTTTGAGACAGGGTCTCTGTGTAGCTGTCCTAGAGCTCACATATAGACCAGGCTGGCCTTGAACTCGCCTCCCAAGTGCTAAGATTAAAGGCAAGTACCACCATGCCCAGTTTATGCTTTCTTTTATTCTAAGGCTTTTTTATTACCTTAGAGAAATTGCATATTTTGATTTAAAACATTACTGCTGCTGTTACTACTACTACTACTACTACTGCTACTATTACTACTACTACTATTGTTATTATTATTGTGCTAGGATCAAACCCAGAGCTTTCTGCATGATAGCAAGCATGCTACCACAGAGCTACACTCTTGGGTCCAATTAAAATTAAAATTTAAATAACATTTTATATAAAATTTAGAAAAGATTGGCTCACTTCTGTCACATACACAAATGATACTTTTTTTTCTTTTTAAGCCTTTATCTTTCATAAAGATTGATGAAATTAAAATTACTGTATTGTGTATGTAAGGTACCACTCTTTCCCTAGGCAGGGGTCTTACTTTGTAAAAGCCCGGGCTCTTCTCAGACTAATTTTTTTTTTCGGCTTTTTGAGTAGCTGGGATTACAAGTGGTAATATTTATGACGTTTTTTTTTTTTAAAAAGTTGTTTTTAAAAATTACTTGTGTGTGTGTGTGTGTGTGTGTGTGTGTGTGTGTGTGTGTGTGTGTCTATGGATAGGTATGTGCATGTGTGTGTGGGGGTACCTGAAGGTGTCAGATCTCTGGAGCTGGAGTTACAGGCAGTTGTAATCCAATTGACATGGGTGCTGGGAACAGAACACAGGTCCTTTAGAAGAACAGCTAGTACTCTTAACTGCTGAGCCATCCCTCCTGTCTATGTCATTTTGTTTGCTTATTTGTTTTGAGAGAGGGTCTCACTATGTAGCTCTGGTTGGTCTGTAATTTGCAACATATGCAGACTCACAGAAACCTGCCTGCTTTGTATCCTGGGATCAACCATACACTATTTGACTTAAGCTTTTTTTTCACTTTTTATTTTCATATAGGCCTTCCTAGCCTTAAAAGAAATATTAGTAACTCCTTTTATATCATACTATGACACTAAAATGTATTTTATTATGTATTATTAAATATTGTTCCCATTTTCTGATAATTAAAAATGGCTTGTGTGTGTGTGTTTATGTAACTTAGTTTTAGTTGCTATAAATTCTTAAAAGAATTTCCTCATCATCACTGTTTATTGCTAAATTCCTGACTGACTTGAGAAGAGTCATGCAATGCACCTTCTATCTATAGAGTGCCTCTGGCTTTGGGGTTCATAATACCTTCAGTTTTTCTAGTTGATGACATGCCTCATTTTCTAAATTAAGTTTTTTATTATTGACAAATATATTTTGATTTCTATTCTATTTATAATTTTTGCCTGATGGTTATTAGCTGTCTGATGCCAGGATTCCTTCCATTTCTATTGATCGTACTGAAGACTGTATTACTTATTTTCAAAATGTATTCTGTGCTTTCAGGTGTTATTTGCTTTAAGTTACATTTAGTTTTATGACCTCCCTTGTTTACCTTATTTCTTATATTTTACTTCCATTATTTATCCTTTTTGTCCTTAATTAAATGTAAGTGCGAAATATGATCTTATACTAGATGAGCAGGCAGAAGACTCAAAGTCAAGTCACTCACACACCAGTAAAAAACACAAAAAGAAAACCCGTCACTGCTCTGAAGAAAAGGAAGATGAAGAATACATGCCAATCAAAAATCCTAATCAGGTATTTCTAACATTCAAGCTTAAATATGAAGAAATTGATATTTTGTCCTTTTGTGCAGTGCATCTTGGTGGTACAATTTGAACTATCCCTGCTCTGAGCTATAGAATAGGCACACAGGATAATGGGCTTTAATTTTAAAGAATGTATCCCACAGGATATAAATGTTGTTTTCAGAATAATTTATTATGTATTTCCACATTTTAACCAAGAGTGATCTCCTTACCGATGAATACTTATTTTCATTAAAAAAAAAAATAGGGCTTTGTTGAAAGTCGTTTCTTAATTGCTAGCTTAACTTGTCAACGCTTTTTAAAAGGTTTGTTGTTATTAATTTATGTATGCCTGTTAAATACATGATCTTGTCATTGGAGGTCAGAAGAGAAAATAGGATCCCCTGGAGCTGGAGTTACAGGCAGTTAGGAGCCAATGTTATGTGTGTGATGGGAGCCAAACATGGGTCCTATGGAAAGAGCAGTAAATGTTCTTCAGTGTTGAGCCATCAATCAACCCCTTAGCACTTTAAAAACTTTAAGTTATGTGTATGTCTGTTTGTGCGTAGTGTATGTCCATGGCGTATGCATGCAGGGAAGCCAGAGGAAGACACTTGGTGTCCTGTTTTATCACTGTCCATCTTATTCCCTTGAGACGGGGTTTTACTGAACCTGGAGCTAGGCTGGCAGCCAGCAAGCCCCAGCAGTCCTCCTTTCTCTGTTCCCCATAGCATTGTGATTTCAGGCTTGTGATCTTGTCCAGCTTTTTATGTAGTTTAGGAATTTGAACATGGCTCCTTATGCTTGTATAGTTACCACTCCTATCTGAGACACAATCTCTCCAGTCCCTTAATTTTCATATAACTCTTCTTACATACATATATTTTTTATTTCTTTTTTTAAATTGGGACCCAGCAGGCAGCGGGTCCCAAGACCATGGTGGCCCATGAAGGCAGTCAGGTCCCAGGCAGGGAACCCATGAGTGGCCCCATGAGAGCCAATGGGTCCTAGGCAGGTTGAGAGACCTTGGTGGGGCAGCCAGTCTATGAGGAACCACAGCCTCAGGTGGGTGAGAGACAGATGGATAGGTACCCCATGCAGAGTGAGGTTGGATATATTTATTTAGTGTGTTATAGAAGGGAAGAGGGGGAGAAGTGGGATGAGGAAAGAAACAGAGAGAGAAGGAGGGAGAGAGGAAGGTGGTAGAGAGGAGAGAACAGAGAGGAGAGAAGCCACTGCAGCAGCTGCCTCCTGCAGAGAGAGACAGAAAGGAAGGAGCTCAGACTATAAATGGAAGGAAGATTCCCCTGCTGGATAGGGAAGGGAGTGGGTGGGTCTTGTCCCTTAAAGGGACAGGACTGATCATTACATATATACTGTTCTATCTTCATGTATCCTTGCAGGCCAGAAGAGGGCACCAGATCTCATTATAGATGGCTGTGAGCCACCATGTGGTTGTGGGGGAATTGAACTCAGGACCTCTGGAAGAGCACCAGTGCTCTTAACTGTTGAGCCATCTCTCCAGCCCCCACATGTATACATTTTCTGTTGTGAATATTCCCTCCACTCCTTTCTCATTAGTCCCCTGTCTAATGCCTAGACAATTTCATATATGATATGACTGTATAAAATGTAAAGCCACAAATGAGAGAAAACTTACACAATTTATCTTTCTGGGACTGACTTAATCTGCTGAATATGATTTTCTGATTTGCATCCATTTACTACCTAGGACATCATACTTTATGGCTGAAAAAGTTTTCATTGTGAATATTCACATTTTCCTCATAAATTCCTCTACTGTTAGACACCTAGTTGTGCATATAACTTATCTATAGTGAATGCTGTTACCGTAAATGTTGATGATCAGCATGTATTTATGTGCAGCACTGCTAATAGGTTTGAAGATTCCTTTGGTTGGTTGTTCATTGACAGAGTCTCCTGTAATCTAGATTGGCCTTGAACTTGAAGTCTAACAGGAGCTGTCCTTGAATTTCTGATCCTGCTGCCTTCATCTTCCAATTGATAGGATGACAGGTGTGAGCTCTTATCCTTGGCTAGCCCTTGAAGTTTATGTCCTGTCTATGCTTTAGGTGTAAAATAAACAACAAACATTAATTAAACATCACCCCATTTCCTAAAACAGTGGTAATGAAAAGAAATCATTTCTAGTCTATTTTGGTTCTTTGTTAAATTAAAAAAAAAAAGCCATTCCATCCTAGCTCCATGTTTTTATTTTACCTCATGTTAGTCATTTCAGACAATCCTGGTGAATGAGAGGGATTTCAGTAGACCAAAGTGAGGAGACAGGGAACACAGGAGCATGAAAATGTAAAGCGAGAGACATAGGTGGAGAGATAGGCTAGGGTAAGCAGAGTCAAGGCCTTGCTGTTAGGAGAGCTAACACTGCTTGCCATTGGTATGACAAGTTAACTTTGAGTCACAGTTTCCTTCTTTGAGAAAGGAGATGATCCTTCACACATGGATTGTTACAATAAGCGTGGGCAGGTGTGTGCAAATGTTTCCTATATCTGTCTACTCTCATTTCTTCCACTAGTACTGTCAAGGTGCTGCTGTACAGTCACAATAGTTCTCCCTGTGGCTAGGACATTAGTTTGGTTCCTATTTCAGGACGTTTTTCTCATTTTCTATTTTCATGTTAATGGATTATGCAAAAACATTTTTTGTTGTTGTTTATAGTTTTCTTTTGTGGCTTGCTTTGTTTTGAGACAGAATTTGACTGTGTAGCCCTAGCTTGCCTAGAACTCATTATGTAGACCAGACTGGCTTCAAATTCACCTGCCTTTGCTTCTTCCTCCCAAGTGCTGAGATGAATGGTTAGTAGTTTTTAAAACACTAAGATTCAAAAATACAATTTAACTGGACGCTATCGTGGTGCACATCTACCATTGTTGTGCTTGGGAGACTGAGGCAGGAAGGCTCAGGGAGAGTTTGAAGCCAGACGCAGCTACGTAGTAAGGCTCTAAGTTTTGTATATTGTTTTTCTAAAAGGAAAAATCTACAGAACCTAGAACACATACAGAGTGTGACTTGAACCCCATGCCATCCCCCCTTTTTTGTCTTACAGGTGAATATGTATTTATTGTTGGTCTTCATTTAATAGTGTTTTCTCTGTGTGTGTGTAAGGATGTTAGCATGGATGTTTAAGCACACTTGGCTGTATACGCTTTCTACCTAATTTGTTGAGACAGTCTCTCACTGAAGTTGGTATTGCCATTTGCCTAGACTGGCTGGCTAGAGGGGCTCCCCAAATCCTGCTATTTCCTCAACCCCAACACTAAAGTTGCAGAGTTGTATTTCACACCTGGCTTTTGTGTGAGTGCTGGAAATTGGAATACAGGTCTTTAGTATCTCTCTAGAGCTAAAAATAGTAAATATATATTTGATAAATACTCCTAAACAGCCCTGAGTGTCATCTAACAGAAGCCTAATCTCTCTCCTTTTTGTAGCCTGTTAGTTTGTTAAATTTTGTCATCACTCATGTCCTGTTAAAGATTTTATTTTATTTCTGGTTTTTCAAGGACAGGGTTTGTTAAATTTTGTCATCACTCATGTCCTGTTACAGATTTTATTTTATTTCTGGTTTTTCAAGGACAGGGTTTCTAGGTATAGATGAACTGTCCTGAAACTCACTCTGTAGACCAGACTGTCTTTGAACTCAGAGATCCACCTGCCTCTGCCTCCCAACTGCTGGGATTAAAGGCATGCACTACCACCTGGTTCCTGCTGTAGATTTTAAAGTATATCTGTCCATTCTTTCAAATGTTCCTCAAATGCATAAATAAAGATAAAAGCAATAAAGTCATTTTTTTTCTCCTCCCACCCCCAGACAAGATTTCTCTGTAGCTTTTGGAGCTTGTCCTGGAACTTACTCTGTAGACCAGGCTGGCCTTGAACTCACAGAGATCTGCCTGTCTCTGTCTCCCTGAGTGCTGGTATTAAAGGCGTGTGCAACCACTGCCCAACATAAACTCATTTTTTTAATTGATATTTATTGAGTTCTACATTTTTCTCTGCTCCCCTCTGTGTCTCTCCCCTCCCCCCTCCAGCCCTCCCCCAAAGTCCCCATGCGCCCAATTTACTCAGGAGATCTTGTCTTTTTCTACTGTAGATTATATCTATGTAAGTCTCTCTTAGTGTCCTCATTGTTGTCTAAATTCTCTGGGATTGTGGTTTGTAGGCTGGCTTTCTTTGCTTTATGTTTAAAAACCACCTGTGAGTGAGTATATGTGGTAATTGTCTTTCTGTGTCTGGGTTACCTCGCTGAAAATAATGTTTTCTAGCTCCATCCATTTTCCTGTAAAATTCAAGCAGTTATTCTTATCTGCTGTGTTGTACTCCATTGTGTAAATGTACCACATTTGCTTTATTCATTTTTCGATCAAGGGTCGTTTAAATTGTTTCCAGGTTCTGGCTGTGACAAACAAAGCTGCTATGAACATAGTTGAGCACATGTCCTTGTGGCACGATTGAGCATCTTTTGAATATATACCCAAAAGTAGTATTACTGAGTCTTGAGGAAGGTTATTTCCTAATTTTCTGAGAATCAGAATGATTCTGAGATGCCACACTGACATCCAAAGGGGTTGTACCAGCTTGCATTCCCACCAGCAATGCAGGAGTGTTCCCTTTTCCCCACAACCTCTCCAGCATAAGTTGTCATCAGTGTTTTTGATCTTGGCCATTCTTAAAGGTGTAAGATGGAATCTCAGGGTTGTTTTGATTTGCATTTCTCTGATGACTAAGGATGCTGAACATTTCCTTAAGTGTCTTTCAGCCATTTTAGATCCCTCTGTTGAGAGTTCTCTGTTTAGGTCTGTATTCTATTTTTTTAAAATTGGGTTATGTGATCTTTTGGTGTCCAATTTCTTGAGTTCTTTGTATATTTTGGAGATCAGACCTCTGTCTGATGTGGGGTTAGTGAAGATCTTTTCCTATTCTGTCATTTTGTCTTGTTGACCGTAACCTTTGCTTTACAGAAACTTTTCCGCTTCAGGAGGTCTCATTTATTAACTGTTATTAACTCTCAGTGTCTGTGCTCTAGAGACTAAAGGAGGATGTCAGGTTTTGTAGTAAGGAGGCCGCTTGTTTGTCCTGGCCACTCAGAACTGAAATAATCACATAGAAACCATATTAATTAAATCACTGCTTTTACTCCTCCTCCTTTCTGCCAGAATTCTGTTTAGTTTTCCCCGCTAGCTCTGTTTCCTTATAGCTCTGCTATAGGCCCAAAGCAGTTCCTTTATTTACTAGTGATAATCACAGCATATAGAGGGGAATCCCACATCAAGGTTTTCTGCTTTATCACTTTCCACTTTATTTCTTTATGTCAGGACCTCTTATCAGACCTGCAGCTAGACTGGTAGCCAAGAAATTCAAGCAGTCCTCTGTCTCTGCCATTCCACACAGTGCTGGACTTACAGGCCATTCCCACTCAGTCATTTCCATAGCATACCTCCTTTCTCTTAATTTCTGCTTAGTCTAGATCACCCCAGTCTTTTAAAATAATCATTGTAGTACATTCCTATGAATGTTTAATGTTTTCTATTAAAACCTTTGAAGCCCATATCGCTACAGGTGTTCAAACCTATACTTAGATACCTTCAGTGAATCCAGGCCCAAGATAAACATTTGAGATAATCAGATTTTTAAAGAACTGAGAAGACTGTTATTTTTAAGTCCATCTTTCCCTCTGTTTTAGGAACCTTTTTAATCCTACTTGGGGGGGTGCTATTTTAAATTTTGTGTTTGTTTTTGTGCTTATATTTGTGTGCAGGTATATATCTGTGGGGTGCGTGTGTGTGTGTGTGTGTGTGTGTGTGTGTGCGTGAGTAGGCCAGAGGTTCAAGTTAAGTGTCTTCCTCTGTTGTTCTTCATATTATTTTCTTTGAGACAGCATATCTACCTAAGCTCAGAGCTCAGTGATTGACTAAGCTCTCTGACCAGGAAGCTCTAGGGATCTGTTGGCCACTATTCCAACAGTGCTAGGGTTACAGGCATGTCATCTTGTCTAAGTTTTCACATAGGAGATGTGGATCTGAACTTAGGCACTTGTATGCAGGTGCTTTATGACGAGCTATCTGCAGTTAACTTTCTGTTTACTTAAAACTTTACAGTGGCAGTCTTTTTCTTTTGGCATGCGGTAAAAAGGAAGAAATGCTGTTAGCAGTTTTTAAAGAATTTTAAGGGCTGAGGAGATGGCTCAACAAGTAAAAAGCAATCTAATGACCTGAGTTCAGTCCCTGGAACTCCCTTTAAAAAGAAAGAAGGAGAAATAAAAAATCGCTTGCTCTGGTGCCACCCATTTATCATCTCTGCACTCCTGTGTTGATATGGAAAACAAAAACAGGAAAGTCTCCCAGAAACTCGGGGACCTGTGTGGGACCATGCTACTCCAGCAATGGGAAAGGAAAGAACCATCTGCTGGGAGCTGTCCTCTGACACCCACACACACCCTTTAAGTTTAAAAATAATTAAATGTGTTTGGAATTATAAAAGGGTTAGATTCTGAATCATCATTTTCTAATCTTTTCCCCATTAAGTTCATTAAACTAATTTTTTTGGGGTTTTATATTTTGATTTGACAATATATTTTGATTTGACAATTTATTTTCTTTATAAGAAAGCTCAGCATTGGTATTTTCTGCTGTAGTCTGGAAGATATACGTACTAACAGGAACTTCAGTCCAGGTTAGGTTGTAGGTGTAGGAGATGTTGCTGTGTGCTGTTTGCTGACAGAGTCCAGTTTCCTAAAGGTGCTCTCGCTTGTTGAATGGCCGCCTTGCTGTTCAGTTCAGAAACTCATCTGCTTAATTTTCACCTTATACCTTAATTCTATAAGTGGTTTTGTGTTGTTGAAGTTTGGGTTTTACTAGTTTACAGGGAATTGAGTAGTATTTAGCTGCAGCTTGCCTGTTGGGTAGTCAAAGTGGTTCTCAGTTCTCCAGATATCCATCCTTTGGGGGCGTGAACTGGAGACTGAACTCAGGGCTATGGCTTGCTCAGTAAGCACTGTAATATATCTCCCCTGTACCTCCAGCCCAGACAGACCCATTTTTACTATCTTTACAATAATAGATTGTTTCTTAATTCACTTTTAAGGATAGGAAAGTAAGATGTTTTCTTTTTCTAAAGACAGGAGATCTCACTATGTAGTTTTGACTGGCCTGGAGCTCACTATGTATACCAGGATGGCCTCAAACTCATATAGAGAGTCATGTGTCTCTGCCTTCTCAGGGCTGTCATGTCTGACATATTAAATAAGAGTTTTTTTCCTAATTTTTTTGTTTTTTAATTTATTTATTATTATGTGCATTGATGTTTTGCGATGGTTGTCCATTCAGAGTTACAGACAGTTGTGAGCTGTCTTGTGGGTGCTGGGAAATGAACTCAGGTCCTCTGGAAGACAAGTAAGTTCACTTAACCACTAAGCCATTTTTTTCCAGCCCCCTTCAGTAAAAGTTTTAACACATCATATATCAGCCTAGTTTGAACATGTATTTGAAAACATAAAGAGATGACATTAGAAAACACTTTAAAATTAACCAGCGGTAGGGGACTAATACAGTGTGTACTCAGTAGTTTAAAAAAAAATGCAAGTGTGGTAACATAGGCCTGTAATTCCAGTTTTTAGGTGGTTGAGACAAGGAGATCAGGAGTCCAAGGCTTACCTGGATTACAGAGTGAGTTCAAGGCCAGCCTTTTGGGGGCTTCGGTGTTCACACCACCATTTGTAGTGCCTATTTTCCTTTCATTTTAGCTTGACTGGCTTAGCTAAATTCTCTTCCTGCTGTGTTATTTGAGTGACATCTTGTTGTAGAATTGTTAGGGGAACTTCAGTAGTTTCACTGCAGCTCAGTCATGGGACCACATTTTGGGGAAGTGGAGAGTGAGAACGTGGAATATGATTGTATGTGATGAGAGCGTTGAGTGTTGCTCTAGGACTGGGATACCGTGGGACAGTTACCTGGCATGTGCGAAGGCCTGCATTTTGTTCCTCTGATACCATTAAAACAAGGCTTGTTCAGAGTTTGCTTGGTTGCGTTAGTTCCATGTGTTTGGATCTGATCCTTCAGTTCAATTGAAATAGATGTAATAAACCAGTTAGATTGCTCCAAAAAAAAATGGTTAAATTTTCTGAATTATTTGTGTTTATATAGTTTTGAGATTCTAGTATTAGGGGTAGTACACACTGAAGCCATGAGGGCAGGTGGCTGAGAGAAGCTGAGACTAATGAAGTGTGAGTTCAGTACCAGCTTGGGTCACATAGCATGAACCTGCCTAAGAAAAAAGGAAAAAAGAAAATGAATTTGAAAGCTGGAGAGATGACTCAGCAGTGAAGAGCACTGGCTGATCTTCCAGAGAATGCTGGTCCAATTTCCAGTACCACATGGTGCTTACAGATTGCTGTGACTGTAACTCTAGTTCCAGGAGATCCAACACTCGTACTCAGACATACAGACAGACAAAACACCCGGGCACAGAAAATAAAAATAAAGTGAATTTTAAAAATTGGATTTGAGCTGTTGCAACGACTTGCCAATGGCTTCTTGGCTTCATGGATTGATAGTGCTCATAGACGATCGTTTTACTGACCAACTTTAACATTGCATTTCTTTGACAGGATATCTACAGGGAAATGGGCTTTGGACATTATGAAGATGAAGAAAGTTGTTGGGAGAAACAGAAGAGTGAAAAGAGAGACCGACGTCAGAACCGCAGTCGTAGCAGATCTCGAGAAAGGGATGGTCACTATAGTAACAGCCACAAACCCAAGTACCAGACAGATCCTTATGAAAGGGAAAGGAGTAGAAAGAGAGACCGAAGCAGAAGTCCAAAGAAATCCAAAGACAAAGAAAGATCTAAGTACAGATGAGTGGGGAAGAAAAGGAAGTGAATGACTAGCAGGTCTGCTCCTGCCTGGTTTGGAGCTCTCACAGATGCTCAGAGTTCCTGCTGGTAACGCTAACTCTGCCTGCCTCCGTGTTGGTGGTGCACACTAAGGGTTTGGGGCACTGGAAGAGAGTGGGCATTTTCTGTGTATACTTTTATATAAATTTTATTGTTGTGCATACATGTTAGTATTCATATTTAACATCTTTCATATTTTCAGCCTTTTTTAAATGAAGCATTTCATACCACAGAAGTCCATAGAATTGTATATAATACATAAAACATAGTAAATTGTATACCGGGCTGCAGTGTAAGAGTGTCGCTTGCTATGAAAGTTTCATATGTTCTTTCTCCCTCTAGATTTTATCATTCTGAGTTATATTTACCTTGCTGTTAATTTCATATGGTTTGGAATTTTATAAAAATGACACAATATATGTTTACTTCTGTGACTTAAGAGTTGATTCATTTTTATTGTAACGTAGCTGTAATGGATATGGGGCAGTTGATCAGTTGATGGGCCTTTGACTTGTTTGTTAGTTTTTTTTTTCCTGGCCATGTGGTTTGAGTTTTCAATGCGTTTATAATTATGGTTGCTTAATTTACCTGGTATGTGGATTTGCATGGGGGCAGAGGTAGCCACAAGAGTGTCAGTCCACTGTGCGGCTTAGAGCAGTTGTTGCTTCATTGCTGTACATAGTCTTGACCACCAATAGAAGAGGCTTAGTTATGTAAGAAGTTAGCTTCCTGGCTAGGAAGATGGCTTGGATTGCCCTGTGCATGCTTCACAAGCATAGAACTGAGTTCAGATCCTGAGGACCACATAACCAGGCTGACAGGGCACATGCTTCTATCCCAGCACTGGAGAGGCAGGAGCAGGTGAAGCTCCAGGGCTAGTGAGAAACCTTGTCTCAAACTGTGATGGAGAGTGATTGAGGAAGACACCTGACTGACCTCTCGCCTCCACATACGTGCACACAATTGTGTATGCACGTACACCCAGAGACGAAGAAACAGCCATCCTGGATAGACAGCTGTAAGTATTGCTTGCATAGATGATTCTAAAGTGTGGTCTGGAAGAATGAGCAAGAGATGAGCTGGGAACAGTGAGAATTCACCTACTGACAGCTGAGACTTGATTTAATAGCTCTGGAATATTGAAATGGTAAAAATTTATATACCAAGCGTTTCAGGGTAAAATATCCTTTATTGCAAATTTTATTGCTGTTTTATTTTCCCTACACATTTGACAGTAATTTTATGTACTTATGGAGGTGTAATGTGTTTTATATATGTTCATATTCTGGGATGAGTAAATCCATTTACAAACATCAGCTCCTTTTTTTTTCTTTGGGCCAAAGTCTGCTCTCGGGGGATTTTGAAATCTATTCCATTATTATTAACTGTAACTTGCACTCTCTGCAGTACTTTTCAGAGATTTCTTCCTTTCATCCAGTAAAAAGCGTACAACCTTTGACCCAAATCTCCTTTATTCTTTGTCTTAGTGTTCTGTTGCTGTGAAGAGATACTATGACCACAGCAATTCTTATAAAGGAAGGCAATTAGTTGGGGCTGGCTAGCAATTGAGAGGTTTAGTCCATTATTGCCGTGATGGGAAGCATGGCAGCATGGAGGGAGACTTGTGCTGGAGAAGGAACCGAGACTTCTGCATCTGAATCAGCAGGCAGCACACTTCAGCTGAGACCTTAAAGCCTGCCCCAGTGACATACTCCACCAAGGCCACACTTCCTGAGAATGTCACTTCTATGGGCCTATGGAGGTCATTTTTATTCAAGCCACATTCATCTGTCAATTATTTCATTCTTGAATTCTACTTTTATAGACTTTCCTCCCATAAAAATGAGGTCACATAGAATTTATCTTTCTGTGCCTGGCTTATATCACTCAGTATTAATGTCTTCCCAGTTCATCCATGCTGTTGCAAGTGACAGTTTCCTGTCTAAAGGATAAACAGTATTGGCCTGTTGTGTATTTATGACATTTTCTCTGTATGTTATATTGTTAGCCAATAGATCTATTCTATGTCTGAGCTGTTGTAACTAATGTGGCAGTGAACTAGGACCACATACAGCCCTTCAGCATACCAGTTTAAACCTGTTAGATTGCTGGATCATAATAGTACTATCCTCAAAGTTTTTACCAACTCAAATATCTCTACTGTTTTCCATAGTGGCTATAATAATTCACATTCCCAAAGATAATATACAAGAATTTCCTTTTGAGAAGCTGTGGTTTTCACCAGGTGATTTCTTTTTTATTATTACTGTATTTTTGTTTTTGTTTTTTGAGACAGGGTTTCTCTGTGCAATGGCCCTAGTTGTCCTAGAACTAGCTATGTAGACCAGCCTGGCCTCTTCTCACAGAGTTCTGACTGCTTCTGCCTCTGTCTTCCGAGTGCTGGGATTAAAGGCGTGCACCACCACTGCCCGACTGATTATTATTTTTAAATAATTTTATGTGCATTGGTGTTTTACCTGCATATATGTTTGTGTGAGGATGTTGGATCCCATGGAAGTGGAGGTACAGACAGTTGTGGGTTGCCATGTGGGTGCTGGGAGTTGAACCAAGGTCCTCTGGAAGAACAGCCTGCTCTTAACTGCTGAACAATGTCTTCAGGCCCCCCCCCCTTTTTTTAGTTTATGGAGACAGAATCATTTGTGTCCCAGCCAGGCCTTGAACTCACTGCATAGCTAAATATGACTGAATTTCCAATCCTCCTGCCCCAACCTCCAGAGAGCTGGGATTATAAACGTGTACCACCATGCTTATTTTGTGTGGCACTGAGGACTGAACCTTCATGTATGTTAGGCAAACTCTCTACCAACTGAGCTCCATTCCCAGCGACTTCAGGTGATTTTTGTTTGTTTTTGAAAGAGTCCCACTTTGTAGCCTTGGCTGAACTGGAGCTCACTATATAGCCCAGGCCTATCTCTGCCTTCTGAGCCTCACCAGGTGATTTTTAATTAATTGTGACTTCTAATCATAACATTTGTGAACTACCTTGACTAGATACAGGGTAGGCTTGGATCTGTGTTACCACTGCTTCTATAGCTTATATAGCTAAAGCGGCCATGTTTCCCATATCGACTTGGCTTCTGTAGGTTTTAGGTGAACTCTTAACAGGTTTTCCTTTCACGTTGGCACTGAACTGAAGGCCTTGTGCAGGCTGAGTACTTTCTACTGCTCATTGCACTAGGTGAACCAGTCTTCAGTGATATTTTCCATTGATTTTTTGCAAGAAAAAAAGATTGAGCAGCAAATAGATTTTGTATTAAAATAGTTACTTTGTACCCAAAATTCTCATTAATATAACTTCACTTTAAGCTTTTAATTTAATCTTTTACTAGTTGAATTTTCAAATATTCTGGCTAGAACTTTAATAGTTCTCTAGTGACTGAGTGAGAACCTTCATGTTGTTTCAGCCATTGTACAAATTCCTTTAATAAATTGCATTTCTGTTAGTGGAAATTTAATCTCAACTTTGACATTTAATACCCTTGAAGGTTGAGTCACAAAGAATGCATAACAGATAGTAAAATCGAAATCTCAGAAGCTTTACCTTTTAGTGGGTGTTGCTAGGAGACCATGTTTTGATGGGAAATTTGAGAGAAACTTGTGTTTCCTGTTAGATGAGCATGTGGAGATCCCCTTCATATTCAAAACTGTGTCCTTTTCAGAACAAATAACACCAGTTATTCTTGCTGATAGGACGATCTTTATTCCTACCTGTTTTACCCACCCACGACAGTGTAATGTGAGCACTGGCAAGAGTTCGCCATTTTATGTTTTGCCTCCTATTCTGCCATGCTCGAGCTGTTGAGTGTTTTCACTGTGCGATTTAAAAATTGTACTGCTAGGGTTGTCAAGTGGCTGATCAGGGAAAGGCACTGCTACCAAGCCTGACTTTGACCCGGGGCCTCACATGCTGTCCTCTGATTTCCATAAGCACACTGGCTTATGGAAATAGGCTAACACACACACACACACCCCACAGTAAATGTAATGATTCTCTTCAACCTGGATTGCTGGCATTCACTTTGTCTGGATTGCTGGGAAACTGACACAAAAGATTTCACAGGAGGTCACGTATTAGCAAGAGTTTGTACAAAAAGAGAAGTTAGAGCGTGCCACTTGCTGCTGGAACTCTAGAACACAACCACAATGACCCCCAGTTCCTGAAAACAGTTTTGTACTGTTTCCTTGGTGCATGGTATGAAGGACAGTCTTGGGTTTCCAGTCGGGAAGCTTGAGTCAGAAACAAAGACCTATGCCGATCGGAGGAGCAGAAAGCTAAGGAGCCACAAGATGATGATCTGACCAAAGTGGAGGATTGTAAAGAGAAGCGAGGAGCCCAAAAGACAGGAGGGAGTGGGAAGTAAAAAGCCAGGAAACCTGAATTTGATTTGCAGGCAATAGAAAATGCTAGCGTGTTCCTAAGGAAGGAAGTGGCACAGTCTAGCTGAGGAAAAGTGGGAGCTGGATACAGGTTCTGCAACAGAGGTTGGAACCACAGCCCTCATGGCTTTGAATGCAACTCATCCCATATCTGTGCCACGTGCAACCCCAAGCCAGGTTTAATACAAGTAGCCTTCCCAGAGGAGGTGCTTGCTACATAAGTGGAGGCCTGCATTTGAGACCTGCGTTGAAGCAGTGCTCCAACATGGAGTGGGCATCCCACCAATAGAAAAACAACTACAGTCCCTGTCACATAGCCAGCGTTCTGCAGAGAACAGCAGTTCAAGTGTCTGGAATGGCTCCAGGTGGATGTAGTTTGGGTAAAACTTTCATATGGTGGGAGCAGGATTCGTGGAACCCCTTAGTTAATGTGGTCTCCATTCCCTTAGTGAACTACCTCTCATACTGTCTTCAGGACAGTCACTCGGTCCGCCTCGTGTCTACACACAGGCATGCAGTAGAGAGCCTCGCTGTTACTGTAATCTCGGATGGCAGCAGGCATTTCTAACGTCATAAAGGATGTTTCACTATTACACTGATAATTATCTACTACTCACAAAGCAAAAGCACAGATTCATAGACTTTCCCCCTCTCATGCTGATGGGAAACAATGTGATGGTTTTCACCACGAAGCTTGCTTTGTTTTGGAGCCTGTGTTAGATCTCGTGCCCACTGCACAACCTTGCAGGTAGACACAGTGGTGCTGCAACACAGTAGCCGCTAAAGCTTCAGGCACTGGAGTCACGCCACATCTGCCCAGGGCTCCCTGGCTGCAGTGGGAGCTGATCTGAGGTGAGGAGATGCAGTGGGATGCTCTTTCTAGGGCTGCCGTAGCACATGGCCACGAACCAATGACTGAAAAGAACAGAAACTTCTCTCTCAATCCTGGAGGCTACAAGTTCCAATTTCACTGTATGGTTTTGGCTGCGCTCCCTCAAAGGTGCTAATGATGCTTGCTGCTTGCTGGCCTCCGGTGTGTTCTTGGTTTACTGGCTGCATCACTCCAAGCCCAGCCTGTCTCCACATGGCCTTTACCCTGCATCTCTGAATCTCCCTCTCCCTTTTCTTTCTTTCTTTCTTTCTTTCTTTCTTTCTTTCTTTCTTTCTTT